CAATCTGACATTTAATTGTGATGAGTGCATACAGGGTCTGGCCTGAAATACTCAATCTAAGTTTTGCAGAGTTAATTAACACAGACTTAGTATAGACTGCGAACTCTGAATGAGCAATAAACCCACCAGCGTTTCAATGGCCCTCTTGACTCCTTGCTCGGTTTACATTCCCCGCTAAATCACAGTCCCTCGCGGCACATACCCTCAACTCCCTTCCCCACGCTCACTCTGAAACGCTCTCCTGGCCAGAGGCGGCACTGGCGACATGCAGCTCCGCCCACACCACGCCTGACAGGGAAATGTGGCCTGAGAAACACGAAGCCACTCTGCCTGGCCCCACTGCACAGTCCTGACCGTGAACCCCCCAGGTGGCGCCTTAATGCCGCCTGGAAATCCCACCACATTTCTACTCGGCCCCCCACCGACCAACCCACATCTTTCCTCACACCTTTAACGCTTACTCCTCCATCTTTAGTCTCAGCCGATGGCCCAGCTTCCTGCTTCACTGAGAAGACTGAGGACGTGAGGAGAAAATCGGACAGAACCATCCTGTTACTTTACCGACCCACACACCTCTCTAAGCCCGCCCCCCCCGCCGTGTACCAGACCTCGCTCACCTCCCAACCATGTCCCCGCTCTACCGGATCGCTCCTAAAACGACATTTCCCATATGCCTGTGCAAACAAACTTGTCCTGACCCTCCTTTCTCCGCCAGCTGTGGTCCCATCTCTTTAATCCCCTTCGCCACAAAACAGGCGCACGAGGAAAACAGGCACACGAGGCCTACTATTCCCTTTCTCCCATCTTCCCTTCTAGCCACACCAGAGACCTCTAGCACGTCACACGGAAGCTGCTCCGGTCACCGCCACCCATGACGTCCCCACTGCCAAGCCAGCCCCCGTCCTCAGTCCCGACCTGAGATGCTCTCATCAGTCCTACTCAGACCACTGTGCCTCCAATCTCTTCACTCACGCCCCACAGTGACGTCGCTCAGCCTCACGCCCGAAACACCACCGCTGTGTCCTCCACTCCCCAATCTGCATCTTTATTCAGCCTGGTTTCAGGCAGCTCCCTCCTCGACATTGCCATTCACTGACTCAGGGATATCCAAGGTAACATGTTCCAAAATACACTCTGGCTCTTTCCGGTCCCAGCCCCAGATCTGCTCTGCTTGCAGCCTTTCCCTCTCTGGTCTGCGGTGACTCCATTCTTCCGCCGCTCAGATGAAAACGTCCACAACCACCCGGGGCTCTCCTCACACACCCATCCAGGGTCGTGTCTCAGCTACTTTCAAAATGTATGCAGAGTCCGAGCACCTGTTACCGCCACACTGCTCCACGCTACTAGTGCATCTTGTCCACGTTACTTAACTGCCACCCAACTCATCTCCTGCTTTCTCCTCTGCCCCGACATTCCCTTCCCAACACAGCCCTGGTGCGTGGGGACTTGGCGCGAAGGCTGACAGTGCCGCACCTGCGTAATGAAGTCCTGTATCTCTGACCCAGGAGCATCATGTCCTGCGGCAGCACCCATCAAGGCTAACTTGCCGGCTTGAGCACAGGGTGAGATTTCCTACTCGTGAGTTCTTCACGATTATGTGTAAATAAAGATAAATGAAAAGTCGTTACAAGAACTGCTTTGACTTCTTTTGGGGCCTCTAGATCTTACACAATGAGCTTCATTTTAAAAAGTAACACGAATATTTACATGGTTGCAAAGGTAAAGAAATTTAAAGGTAACAAAGTTAAGAAAAATGGACCTAAAGTTGCCATATAATTTCAAATTTAGTGAGTTAAGAAGCTCTAGTAAATTTTCAAGTGATACACTCCCACTTTACATTTATTTTTTAGAGAGAGAGAGCGCGCACGAGTGAGCACACAAGTGGGGGAGGGGCAGAGAGAGGAGACACAGAATCCGAAGCAGGCTCCAGGCTCCAGGCTCCGAGCGGTGAGCACAGAGCCCGACGCGGAACTCGACCCCACGAACCGCGAGATCGCGACCTGAGCCAAAGTCGAACCCTTGACCGACTGAGCCACCCGGGCGCCCCAATACACTCCCACTTTAGAGGCTATTGACACAAAACTAGAGGGCAGCACTAGAACCAGTCTGCTGTGTGACACTGAGTGAATCTCCTCCCGGAGTCTGTTTTCCCACGTGACATAAAGAGGCTGACCTCTAAAGCACATCCACCCCTAAAAATACCTGATTCAATGGAAGTAAAAATATGCAGAGACTTAGAAATTTAACCTGCAGGGAACAAATCTTCCATGAGCATTTCAAAGCATCTTTTTAACTGTGTCAAACATATTTCTATTAAGTTGAATATGAAAATGTTCATAAATTCAATCATTTAAAATGCTAACGAACTGGCGCCTAAGAACTGATTAATGAAGCAAATTCACTCTTCTTTAATTTTGTAGTTCAGATTTTAGTATTTAGAAATTTTTTAAGTAGCACACTCGGGGTGCCTGGATGGAGCATACAACTCTTCATCTTGGGGTCGGGTCGTGAGTTCGAGCCCCACGTTGGGTTACGGATTACTTAAAAATAAAATCTTTAAAAAAAGTAGCACACCTCTACACCCGTTCATCACTGTCTATAGGCATATACAGATTAAATTTTTAAGGTATACATTTATACATTTAAAGTATACATTAAAAAGTTAAAACCTCTGTAAGTTCCCTACACAATTTCACTGTGTTCACTGCCTATGACAAAGTAAGGCCTCACTGGTTAGTGTCCAGTAGATTAGACCCTTTGAGAATTTTTTTACAAACTACTAACAATTAAGGAAGGCCCAAAGATCTATGTTTGCTGTTGTCATTTTTATTCTGGTTTAAAAAATTGAGGCAAAAACTAAGAAAATCAATATACCGATCCTGGAAGTCCAACATCTGACGAAGAAGAGCTTCAGTCAAGAGAAGGAAACGAAAGGGAAGAAATCATAAAAGAAATTTAAAAAATTTTCCCATAACCGAACAACACAAGCTTACAGACTGAAAGGATCCATGCGATGCTCTGTACAGCCAAAGAAGAAAAGACAATATAATCAGGCACACCGTAATGAAATTTTAAAATTTAGAAGGAGAGGAGATAATAAGAAGGTACCAAAAGTTCCCCCAAAAAAGAGGAAAAAAAATACATACAAACGATTGGGAAACAGCAACTAACTCAGTAACACTGGAAGCTGGTGGTGCAATGTCTTCAAAATTCCCAGGGAACATTTATTTTCAGTACGGCGCACATTTACAGCCAGTGACTTCTTGCGCACCTCCACACTTCTCAGCACCCTTGCAGGGCCATGTGACTGGTTCTGGTAAATGTATGAGAAAAGTGACATGTGTCACTTCTGGGCCAAACATTTCAGTGCAGCATGTGACCCATCGGCTCCCCTTTGCATCTGCTGTGGTGCCTCAGAGCCATGGGTGATCAACGGGGAACTGCAGGCGAAAGCAGACTGGGTCCAAAGGAAAACGGCAGAGGAGCCCCAGGCCCAGTGTGGACGCGGGGAAAGTAAGCAGCAGCCTGTATTTACACACGCGAACCCCAGAGTTCATCTGTCACTGCAGCAGCACCCATTCCATCCTGACTAAACTCGTCACCCAGAATTGTGTATGCAGCCAGACTGGAAGTCAGAGTACGTGAAACATACATGGTTTCCCACGAGGTCATTAAAAAACACACCTCCCCCATCTCCTTTCTCAGGAAGTTATTAGAAGAATGAGCTCCATCAAATCAAGGAAGCAAACTAAGAAACAGAACACAGGTAACCTTGCTTAGGAAAGGGAGAAAAGAATCTCTACGTTGATGTTATAGCTCCTGCTGTTCACCCTGTTTAAGATAACGTCCCCGCCACCCAGGGCTCCTCCCAAACAAAGGTCACCTTCCAAGAGCCAGCTCAACTGTGACATCATCCACAAAGACACAATCCAAACTCCCCACCACCTAAGAGTAAATGAAAACATCCTGCATCAACCACGAGAAGAGCCACCGACATCAGACTCCATCCTTCCTGAAATCTGCTAGAAATGTGGTCCATGACTTGGAGCAGATTAGTTAACTGCTATTAGTCTCAGTCTCCTCATCATCTGTGTAAAGATGAAGCTGACCAATAATCAGAAGGTTCCTTCTAATTCTAAAATGCAGGGGTGCCTGGGTAGTTCAGTGGGTTAAGCATCTGACTCTTGATCTCGGCTCAGGGATGATTTCATGATCTGTGAGTTCAAGCCCCGCATCGGGCTCTGCACTGACAATGTGGGGCCTGCCTGGGATCCTCTCTCTCCTTCTCTCTCTGCCCCTTCCCCACTCGTGCACATGTGTGCGCTCTCTCTCAAAATAAATAAACTTAAAAAAAAAAAAGCAACAAATGCAGTAATTCCGCAAATATACAAAACTACTAAAATCCTAATACAATTCCATGTATGTTACACGCTTACACATTCTGACACTCTGATATTTGGTAATAATGTTATTCCCTAAGTATATGGTTGTCACTTTCAAAAGCAATGTCAACAGATGAAAACGACTATTGTCACAGAATGAAGATATTTCCTTTAAAACCAAAATTAAGCCTTAATAAGAAACATCTCATTACTATAAACACCAAAACAAAATTCACAAAAGGAAAGTCATACAAAGTAACAAGTCTACCAATGAGAATTCACCTTACGCTACAGGCATATCAGCCCTGTTGCTTCAACCATCCAGTGTTACTGGTGTATCCAGAATAACACCAATCACTGAAAAAACCACCAGCAGGAGTGCCAAAGACCAGGCCATCTAGGGTCCTTGATGAACACACCTTTTCTAAATAGTTCCAAAGAGTAACATTCAACTCTTAAAATTGTTTTTGATGGAAATCTCTTCTAATAGGAACCATATATTCTTTTCGTTCTCTTAAAAGGGAAACCCTAAGCACAAGTGTGTGTATTAAATATGATCTCATGCTGTCACTCAAGTGCTCTATGTAGACTGATGCCCCTTAAGATGACCAAATTTACCTGCGGGGAAATTTCAGGATGGCATAGTGACGTCTTCAGGATAACGGTTTGTCTCCCAGGCCTTCAGAGATATTCCGTCTTTTCTTCCTTCTTTCTTCTCTACTACTCAACAGTCTGCTCCCAAGGACAACGGCACAGCCACCGCTCCCCAAACATAGTCTCCAAGTGTGATGCCCTTTTAATAATTTTAAGAAAACATTTCAGTGTGATGGTTGTTAACAGTGATTTAAAAAAGATTAAAACAGCAGAAACACAAGAGCCTGGGGCTTTGCAAGCGCACGGAACCTCTGCGTTCTCCGGCTCCCTCCGACTGACTGCGCTGACCCAGTGCCAGGCAGCTCAATGGCTGCTCACGTTTGTAACCCTTACAATTCTGCAGCTGGCACCATTTAAACTTCTGTGGGCTTGTCTCGTCTTTCCTCCTTTACTTTCATTTCTCTTGTCCCTTTCTTTGGTCTTACGCCCTTTCCCCACACAGGGCTTCCTTAACAAGAAAAACCAAGTCTTCCATAAAGGTTACTGATTACCCAGAATACTCCTTTTAACTAATCACGGTGTATTTTAAACTAATTATTACTATTAGCACTCATTATATTCAAGGCACTGAACCCATTCATTTACATGCATTTCTCATTTAATTTTCACACCAATGCTGAGAAAGGCACTATTACAATTTTACAGATAAGGCAAATAAGACAGATTTATTTTAAAAACCTCCCCTATAGGGGCACCTGGGTGACTCAGCGGGTTGAGCTTCTGACTCTTGATCTCAGCTCAGGTCATGATCTCAAGGTTTGTGAGTTCAAGCTCCGCATCGGGCTCTGGGCTGACAGTGAAGAACCTGCTTAGGATTCTCTCTCTTCCTCTTTCTGCCCTTCCTTCTCTCTCTCTCAAAATGAATAAACTTTAGAAAAGGGGAGTGGAGCACTGGGTGCCTCAGTCAGTTAAGTGTCTGACTGGATTTCAGCTCAGGTCCTGATCTCGTGGTTCGTGGGACTGGGCCCTGCATCAGCACGGAGTCTGCTTGGGATTCCCTCTCTCCCTCTCTGCCCCTCCCCCACTCATTCTCTCCCTCTCTCTCTCAAACTAAGTAAATAAACTTTAAATAAAAGTTTAAAACTAAAATAAAAACCTTCCCTATAAATTCAGAGCTGAAATTCAAGGCTAGATGCCCAGTCTTTGTGATCAGCCAATTGGACACATGAGTGAATGCTGTTGTTATTGGGATGCCTGCTCTACAGGTAAAGAAGGTTCTTGGGGGCACCTGGGTGGCTCAGTTGGCTAAGCTAAGCGTCCGACTTCAGCTCAGGTCATGATCTCACAGTCCATGAGATTGAGCCCTGC